ATGCTTACAAAACTTACTGAACTCATGATTATAAAACTCTAGGTCATTATCGATTCTTAGTCTTTTGACTCTAAGGCTAGTTAGGTTTTCAACTAAGGTTTACTCATTTAACAAACTTATTAAAGGTATCATAACTATTTTTAAGGATATAAACCCAAACCTTTATAGTACAATCATTTATGATGGATAAGAAATACTTAACCCCCATTAGTATCCACACTAGATGGCCCCCATAAATCGGCATGAACATACTCTAGCTTTCTTTCTGTGGTGTACACACCCTTACCAAATTTAACCCCTTTTAGATTTACCATATATGCAATGTTCACACATATCTAGGTCTACATCTTTCATATGATGGATAAGTTTTTGTTTAACTAACTCGCTTAGTCCTTGTTCACTCATGTGACCTATACGACTATGCCAAAAGGAAATTTGGATGTTATCACACTCTTTAGCTATGCAACTTGACCCTACAACTCTATAACCATCTAAGGAATAAAGTGTCTCTTTAAGGTGCCCCTTTAGTGTTACCATAATACCCTTCATGACCTTTGATACACCATTTTCTAAGTTCGGGTACGTACCTAACTTCAGTTAAGGGAGATTAGGTTTCTCTTCACTTCGGGTATGTATCTAACTTCAGTTAACAACCTAACCTTCCCATCATGAAGTTTGAGCCTAATTGTAGCTTGACCTTCTACATTACAAAACTAGCGATTTTCTAACATGACTTTACCTCCAAAACATGATAGGACGTTAATCCTGCAATGAAAACGACGAACGTGTTCTTTAATATTTAGCAACAAAAACCACACTTCTAAAGGAAAAAATGGGAAGAAATGAACTTACATTTGAAGACCTTTCTTCAAGATTCTCCCTTAATCAATCTGTTCACTACCACCGATTTCCTGGCTATTCTCTAGGTACGAGAATGTGCTTGTGGAAGCAACGAACTTGGAAGCCAAGGGAATTTTTTTAGGAGAGAGCCAATGTAGGGGAAGAACTGGATTGTTAAAATTGCAAAACTGTTCTGCAAAACCAACCATGATGTGTAGGTTACTCCACGTCAAAAAAACTTCCCACTCCCCTGCAATTTTGCAGAGGAGTTTTCCCTTTTTTTATTTATTTAATTAAATTAATATTAATCAAATTAATAATAATAATAATAATAATAATAATAATTAATATATATATATATACAATTAATCATATTAATTAATTAATTTTTAATCTAATTAAAAATTAATTATATATATATATATTAATCAAATAAATAATTAACATTTAATTGTTTATTACCAAAATAAAATCATATTCTAAAGCATTTCTCTCCTAACTTATAGGTGTAATGTACATCTTATGCACATTATTTTTAACCTATAGTTTTAATATAAATCATATTCATATTAATTTTTATTTGAATCTCATTCAAATAATTTCTCTCATAATATATTGTTTTAATAAACTATATATGATAATTTATCAACACACATAATCCCTGGAGTAATTTGAACATTTCAAATTCTTCCAAAGAAACTTGATTCTCGTTTTACCCATTGTGAGCTAGCAAGGGGACCTAATGGACCTACGGATCAGAAGTTCCAACAATACGAGATTAATCGATCAAACTCATTAACCGAGTAATCAACATTCGTGGACTACGGGTCACTCCATTCAAGACCCGCAGCTGCACTCTTCTCACTGTAGAATGTTTTCGTGTCCACGAATATACGACCATTAATGGCAAGTCAATTCTTCAGGAGTGCTTGTAACTCAAGCTGGGTCAAATTACCGTTTTACCCTTGAGTTACACCTTACTCCTTAAATACCACTGCCGGAACACAGACCCAAACTCACGAATCCCCTGATTCTAAGATTAGATATCAGTTAGTTCAATGATAGGTCTTTAACAAAGAAAAATAAAGAAATAAATACCTGCCGCATCTTACATATATGAAATTTGCACGATTTTCCCGTTTTTGAACATCCTCATGAACAACCTGGTTATAGTCCGACCAATAACCAGAAGTCCCTCTCGGGCCAGTTAGAGGGTGGGGCCTCTTGTCCAAGTCTTGGAGTCAGAATTTAAGAGAACACTCATCTACTCCCCTAAAGTCGGGGAGGAGTGAATTTCATCTTGTGAAGTTATGTTTCCAGCTCCCCACTCGATCTCGTCCCCAAAATGGTAGGAATGTCACTGACTCAGGCCAGTCTCACCCATAAGATCAAAGAACGAGCCTTCATAAGCAGGAGTCCATAACTCACTCAAGATTGAGAATGAGTTGTCTGGTTATCCTATGAAATAACAATCTATTAGTCAATGACGTTACATCTAAAGATTGGCTATTTCGTGGTCCGATCTTATACAAACTCATTTTATAAGATACCCCCACTCGCATGTCTCCACACGAACGACCTGGATCAGGTCGTCTGTAACATTTACAAAGCAGGTCATATCCATAGTATTGCCAGGATAAGATACACAGCCTTATCTATATACTATAGACCTTTTAGGTTAATCTCGGGACATTATTCACTTGTATATCGAGGGTATATCAAATATATACATAGTATATATACTGTCTCGATTACATGATAATAACCTTGGATGTTTAGTTTATTGGATTTAGACAATGCTATGTTATAAACTCAACAACAAATTTATTGAATATGAAACCACAACTTTATTGAATACAAATTTGTTTTTACATAATTACAAACTACGAGTTTATGGCAACACACCCAACAAAACGTTCTCGGAAATTCTCTAGCCAATCTCTATTGGGTCTCATATGGAAAGAGCAACCTGAATCTAAAATTGAAGTTTCATCCTCACTCGATGCACTCACCACAAGGACATGGTCGAACTCTTCACTAAAATTGACCCTGCTAGCCTACTCTTTCTCTTATCCATTTGTTTATTCTTAAGGTCAAGACAAAATCTCCTAATGTGGCCCTTCTTATTACAATGGTAACACCTTTTACTCTTACCCCATTGATTTGGACCTAGACCTCCCTCTCACAAATAATGACTCTCCATCCCTTTTACTTTCTTTTAATTCTAATTCTTTAATTTTAATAGCATTAATCACAATGCAGCAATCAAATCATATTTTCCATATTTCATAGCAGACTTGACATCATTATAAGCACCAGGCAAAGAATTGCAAAGAATAATAGCTTGATTTTTATTAGAAAATGTCTCATTACTATTTTCTAATTTTGAAATAATTTTGTTAAATTCATCCAGATTTTCTTTCATGCTTTTATTCGACTCCATCGTACTGCTAAAGAACTTAGATTTAAGATAAATTTTATTTGACACTGATGGTATTTGATAAGTCGATTGCAACTTACTCTAAAGTTTACCAGTAGTATCCTCACCTCTCATTTGTCGAAGAACACTATCACTACAAGAATTATGATCTGTGGCGAAGGATTTTTTCCCGAGGCATGAAAAAATGTCAGCATTGTAGAGTTATAGCAAGACTTTTTCTAAAACGTCACGAGTCGAAAAAACATGGAATAGCGTCGAGAAAAGTCGGTAAAATAGAGATGTTATTTTCATGCGTCGGGAAAAGTTTTTCCCAACGCTTTTATGAAGTTATGCCGACGCTTATGAAAAGCATCGGGGAATGTCTTAAAAAAACCAAATCCCTATTTTTCCAAATCGTTCACAGAAGCGCCCCCACCCTCGCTCAACTTTTTGGCCTCTAATCCCTAATCCTTTTTTCCCAAATCCTCTATTGCTCTATATTTCTTTGCTGGCCACCGACCTTTTCTCCAGCCAACTTCGTTAATCGTCTGTTGTCGCTTGCCTGCCGCCTCTCCCCTTCCTCCTTCGTGGTACACAGGTATGCTCATGTACCCAAAATCCAACGAGCTTTTACTTTTATTGATTTCTCTTCTGACTTTGGCGTATTTACCTAGATTTTTTATGGGTTGGCTCGGTTTAGCAGAGTAAGCTTTTCCTTTACATCCCTATTCAATAATGATATTTTCATTCTCTCTATGTAAAATTTTGTTGGATGGGCTTAATGGTTTTGAGATAGAGGCGCGAGCGCTTTTTTTGAAGACCGTTGCTTATTTAATTTTGTTATTGATGTGAATAATTTTTTGTTGGCAGGCTAGCTCTATTTCATGGAACAAAAATGAGTTCAATTTTACCATGAACTTTGAAGTATCCTAGTTTGATTGATTATTTAAAGGCCATTGATTATGGGATTTGGTTATATTGAACAAGCCGGTGTCTGCCGTGGCTATCTTTCTTTTTCAACTTTGTAATGATGACATATATTCACATAGAAAAAAAACCAAGACAATTGTGATAGGACCAAATCAAATATTGTAAATTTATGGAATTATAAGCTATGAAAACAAGAGTATGTTATATAAACATCAATGTGACTAAAGTTCTTAGTGATTCAAATGTGATTCAACCTAATATGGAAGCCTATTTAAAATATTTTTTTTAATGAATTATGTGTTGATTTTGGCCCTAGACTAATGGAATCAAACAATTATACTAAAGTGTTCATCTCTTTTTTCTTTTTTTTTTTTTTTAGCATATGTTGTTATTATATTCTTTTGGTCTTTTCTGTTTGAAGCAAAGATTTCTGCTTTGGGACTTGGTTGCTAGTGAGATTGAAACTATTAGCTTTGTCTCTTCCATATTCTGACATATATATTATTGTCGTTAAAATAATTTGTTGGAATGAATACTTGGTTCTTACTTTCTCATCCTCGTTATGATAAGATCTTGCTTTGATGAGATCGTCCTTTAAATTATGTAGGTAAAACTTGATGGTGTGGGAAGTGAATCCATAGCATGTCAAAAGTAAGTGAGATCAATGCCTCTTACCTATACACACGACTTAGTTTTGCTCTTCCTATACAAATAAATTAATACAATCGAATTCTTATTTCCTATTGTGGCTCATTCAGTTGTTTTTGTCATGAGAAGAAAAGACTTTTTTTCTGGCACTTGATACAGAAATTTGTTTCTCTGTAGTTTTTTTTTATCACAATATTCTATTTTTAGTAATACCAAAGATCTTTGCTTAGGTAGAGAATCTCTCTCATCTTGTAATTATTTCTAATATCTAATTAAAAAATATCTGAGTACGATTTAAGCAAGTGAAATTAAGTTAAGTACTTGGTTTTAACTTCATCCCATATCCTGTAACTGTAGCTTTTATATATATATATATATATATAATATGCAATCTCTACTAATAAAGTGTGGAACCAATATTCCAAACCTGTATAATGAGACTTGTTTAAGTTAAATTGATGAAGAATTTTTACCTTGAATTATTAGATGGGAATAGTTTGTCTCTGCAATTGCAATATTAGTTAGGAATAGTTTGTCTCTAAAGTTGGATTAATGGGGGATTCTGGAGAAGTTGTACAAAAATTAGTTGGAAATTTAACGAAAGATTTCTTCCTCTTTTGTTAGGATAACCATACCTAATGAAGATTTCTTAGCTTTGAGGGATGGTTTAAGTGCATTAGGCTTGCCTCAAGGCACATTCAATTTCAATTTTGCCTCCATAGTTCACTTAGTTGCTGTTTAGCCACCTTTTTTTTTTTTTATTACTTTCTACTTTCGAGGAGATTTTAAGACACTTAGGTAGCTTCAAGTGGTGGTTTATGTGCATTAGACGCATAATGATAGGAAAAAAATATAGATCAATCGATCCTCCTGTAAGTTCTTCAAATAGTTTTTCTCTTTCCATAAGCTAAAATCATATAAGTAATAATAACAAAGGAATAAGTGATAGAGATAGAAAAGGCTCGCATGGATTATACTGGTTCGCCCCAATCTTGGTTCTACATCCAATCTTTTGCAAAAAGCACAGGTTCTACTATAGTTAATGTATTAAAATGGAGATCTCACTTAAGATATCACTATGCAATGACTATCTTGCTTCTAAGTATCCTAACAATGGCTACCTAGGATTACACAATTGAAAAACACCCTCACTAAACCCAAGGGATAAAGACTCTTTTTCAGACACTACCCAAAACCACTCAAATCTCTTTTATTTGGATTCTGTACAAATAAAACCTTAACAAAACGACTGCATTTATAGGAAGCCAAATATACTAGTCCTTATAGGATAATAATATTTTAATCCTTATAAGACAAAAAATATCCTACTCCTTGTAGAAATTTGTAGTAGTGTTGAAAATTTTTTTCCTCGTAGGACATGAGTAATCTGTTTTGGCTCTATTATCTCAACAATCTCCCACTTGAGACAAAACATCGATTTTGGCTCCCATTGCAACGACAATCTCTGATAATCTTGGAAAACTCCAAGGCTTCTTCTGCAACAATTTTTGATCTTCCTGAAAAATCTTTAAGGCTTTTCTTGCAAGTTTAAAAACTTGTAAAATATCAGAAATTATTGCTCCCATCTGTCTTTACCCTGAGGTCGGCAATCTACGTGGTCTTGTCTCCCAAATGCAAAAGACAGCCACGTGCTCTCACTCAAACTAAGTGGCAATATCTAAAGCTTCCTTCTCCATTCTCAAACATTGATTCTTGAAGAAATAACTTCCAACTGATGACTTCAGAACTCTATTCAAGCGTGCTGCCAAAATTGAAACTCCACTCTTTACCTCAACACCTACTAGGTTCTTCTTCTCTAATGCAACTGTTCGCTAACGCGACTTCATCAATTCACCCATTCGTCTGACAATGGGGGATAATCCCTGACAACCTAAAGAACCTGTTTTTATTTTTTGACTTCCTAATTGTTGTTTTTGAATTGATGAGAGATCTTCCTGATCTGTTCTGGTTGTCTTTGTTGTTGGCTCAGTTCTACCTGTTTGGACACCATCTGCATCTTGCATCCATTGTCTCAATGATCCTCTGGCAACATTCAATTTCAATGTGTAAATTATAGATCTTCTGTGACCACCTGCCACTAAGTTGAATCGTTTGGTGAGCTTTTACTGGTTCTCACCAAACTCACTCTGATAACCATCATCGTCCAACTTACCTATAGAGATAAGACTCATTCTGATACTTGGTACATACTTGACATCTGGCAGTAATAACTCAATCCCACTATTGGTCTTCAATCATATATTTCCAATCCCTTAGTCCTGGAAAGCTTTCCATTCCTCATCCTCACGTGGCCGCGATTGCCTCTCCTGAAAGATGTGAATGATCTCCTATTTGAAGATATGTGTACTAAAGTTTCGTTGTCTATTACCCACTCTGATGACTGATTTCTTGTTTTCATGTTGCTTTCAACACAAACGAGGGCATCATCCACAACTGCATTTGCCTCTACCATAAATCTTTTCAGATCCTCTTTTAATATTCTACAGTCTTTCTTAATGTGGCTTTTCTTGTGTTAGTGAAAACATTTGACCTCTTTCTTTCGATTTCATTTGCTATACTTTTGCTGCCAATCTTCAGTCGCAACCTTCTCTTAACCTTCTTGAACAGTCAATGTTGAGTCTTGTTTGGAAGTAGACTATTTTCTGATCTCCTTCCTACGAATTTCTTCAGCAATTACCCTATCACTAATTTCTGAAAATTTTAAAGATTTTTCCCCTAACGAACTGGACACTGCTGTCTTCTTTGTTTCCCAACTTCCAGGTAAAGATATTAGTAACAAAATAGCATTCACTTTGTCACTAAAAGTAATTGATAAAGGATCTACCTCAATTATGCTTGAGAATTCCCTTATTCAAGGTGACCTCATAACAATAATAAGAATAGCTCCAATAGCTAGAAAGTACTTAAAACATATTTGTGCTTGGAAAGATGATCAATGATCAAGAATAAAGGAGAACTTGATCCTATATTCAAGATTTCGAAGTCTCCACAACCTAATCGATTAAACTAGATTGAAAGTTCTAAAACATGCATTCTAACACAAGAATACAAAGAAATCATAGAGCTTGAGAGAGACTAAATTCAATCTGAAATTTTCATTCATCAAAATGTTGTGTTTGGAAAGCAAATATACATCCATATTTAAAGTAATTGAAAAGACACAATGAAACTACACAACCCTGTGTCTAACTAATCCAAATACAACCATCATCTTTTAAATGAAAATATATGGATTTGAAAAATAAATAATACATTAAATATGTGGATGAATCTGGATTTTTAGATTCATGAAGTTTCTTGGATTACAAGATGCCTTTCCAAGCTTTAAGGGATGCAACTCTTCACCAAGTCTGAACACCTTAACTTGGAAGTGACCTTTCAATCCTTCTTGTAGTCTTTTAGCTCTAACTCTTGTGGTTGGATCTTATGGCATAATGATTGGCTCATGGGTTGAACTTGGATTGATCTCAATTGACTTTGAGCATAAGTTTCATTTGTGTTGATTTGAGCTTGCTCATCTTGTAGACTTTCCTCATGCCTTCCGTGTTTACTTAATTCTGTATCATTCTCCCCCTCTTCGAAAGGATTCATCCTCAAATATGAATCTCCCACATAAAAAAGGGATAAATCAGCAACATTAAATATAGTACACACATTATACTTACCAGGAAAATCAATTTATTTTCAATTTTGTATGCATTGTCATTGATCCTTTCTAAAACTTGAAATGGCCCAGCTCCTCTTGGATGTAACTTCGACTTTCTTTGGTTTTGACAATGTTGCTTTCGGAAGTGAATCCAAACCAAATCTCCAGGTTTTAAAATGAGATGTTTCCTTCCCTGATTCATTCTTTTTGCATTTCATTATGCTTTTCAATTCTTTCTTCTACCTCCTTATGAAGCTTCCTGACAAACTCAACTTTTGAATTAGCATCAAGATAAACAAATTTGGTGGTTGGCAACGACAATAAATAAAGAGGGGTCAGAGGATTAAAACCATAAACAATCTCAAAAGGCGAACACTTTAGTGTGTTGTGGACAGCCCTATTGTAAGCAAACTCAACAAATGACAACATTTCTTCCTATATTTGAAGATTTTTATCAAGAATTGCCCTTAGTAAAGTGATTAATGTCCTATTGAAAACCTCTATTTGATCATCGGTTTGTGGGGGTTGAAAACAACAATTTAGTTCCCAACTTTTCCCATAAAACCTTCCAAAATGACTTGAGAACTTGACATCTCTATCATTAACAATGAAACTAGGAATTCCATGTAATCTTACCACTTCCTTAAAGAATAAATCAGCAATGTTTTTAGCATCATCAATCTTATGATAAGCAATGAAATGTGACATTTTGCTAAACCTATCAACAACCACAAAGATGCTATCATGTCCTCTCCTAGATCTAGGCAACTCAAGAATATAATCCATAGACAAGTCAGTCCAAGGTGTATTAGGAACGGGTAACGGAGCGTACAATCCATGTGGTTTAGATTTTGATTTAGCTTCTCTGCATGTAATGCAAGTACCCTAAACTTTAGGAACATCATGATGCATGGGCGGCCAGTAAAAATTATCCTTAAGTGAAACATAAGTCTTATTTTCAGCAAAATGCCTAGTAGGTGCTTCCTTAACAAGCAATTCTCTATAAGAACCCTTAGGAATGCAAAGCTTATCTTTCCGAAACAAGAAACCATCAAAGATATAGAAATGATTGACTCCCATTCCTTTCAAACATTGAGAAAATATTTCACCAAAATCATCATCATTTTGGTACATTTCTTTAAAAAACTCAAAACCCAGCAATTTAGAAGATAAAGTTGTAAACAAGCTTATCTTCTAGACAATGCATCAGCGACCATATTTTCCTGACCAGTTTTGTACCTTATAACATATGGGAAGGATTCATTGAATTCAACTCACTTCGCATGACGTAGATTCAACTTGTCTTGTCCCGTAAGATACTTCAAGCTTTCATGGTCAGTATGGATCACAAACTCCTTTGGCCATAGATAATGTTACCAAGTTTGTAATGCTCTTACCAAAGCATACAACTCTTTATCATATGATGGATAGTTTAAAGCAGCCTCATTCAACTTCTCACTAAAGTACATAATACGCTTGTGTTCCTGCATTAAAACTGCTCTAATTTCTATACCACTAGCATCACACTCAATTTCAAATGTATTTTCAAAATTAGGTAAAGACAACAAAGGTGCATAACTTAATTTTTCTTTTAAAGCAGCAAATGCATTTTCTTGAGATTCTCCCCATTTGGAAACGACATTCTTTTTTACCATTTCATTAAGTGGTGCAGCAATTGTACTAAAATCTTCAATGAACCTCCTATAAAAACTAGTCAAACCATGGATAGATCAAACTTCACTAGCATTTGTAGTCTTAACTAATGTCAATTGATTGATTAAATTTATGACCTCATTTATGTGGGAATTGACATAAGTACTCTCTTCCATGCGAATGTTAAAAAATTTCCCTATGAGATATACCTTATTATTAGCTGAGGGTTTTTCGTACCTGTTCTCCAGTGCTTCATCAGATCTATTGTCGTTGTTTCTTTTACTACGAGAGTTGCCACATTCATCGACAAACACAATTTGATAATGGCAACTGCCTGTTCATTCTTCTCTACGCAATCTTCGTCTTTCATCCCTGATGGTCGTTCCTTTAAAACTTTATTCAACTTCTTGCAGGTCAAAGTAATGTTTAATCTGCATCTTCCAATATCTGAAATTTGCTCCATTGAACTTCATGATTCCTTCAAAACCTAACTTCTCTGCTAATCCCATGACTTTCCAAACGAATCGCTCTGATACCAATTGATGGAAAAAATTCCTCCTGTAAGTTGTTCAAACAGGAATTATGATTTTCCCATTCCACAAGCTAAAAGCGGATAAGTAAGTAACAATAATAAAGGAATAAGAGATGGGGATTGAAAAAGCTTAACACTACAGGGATTATACTGGTTTGCCCCAATCTTGGGACTATGTCTAATCTTTTGCAAAAAGCAAGTTCTACTATAGTTGAGAATATTACAATGGAGGTATCTCACTCAAGATATCACTACATAATAACTATCTTGCTTCTAAGTACCCCAACAATAGCTACCTAGGATTACACAATTGAAGAACATCCTTACTAAACCTACGAGATAAAGACTCCTTTTTACCACTGCCCATGATCACTTAAGTCTCTTCTATTTGGATTCTGTATAAATAAAACCTTAACAAAAGAGCTTTATTTATAGGAAGCAAATTATCCTAATCCTTGTAGAATTACAATATTGTAATTCTTATAAGACAAGAAATATCCTACTCATCGTAGGAATTTGTAAAAATCTTTTCCTCGTAGGACACAAGTAATCTGTTTTGGCTTCATTATCTCAACACCTAAGGCATGTTTAATTTTCGTTTGGCCTCCATAGTTCACTTTGTTACTGTTTAGACACTTTTTTTTTGCTACTTTCTACTTTCTAAAAGCTTTTAAGACACTTACGTAGCTTTAAGGGGTGGCTTAAGTGCATTAGGCTCGCCTCAAGAATGTTCAATTTCATTTTGGTCTCCATAGTTGATTTAGTTGCTGTTTAGACACTTTGTTTTGCTACTTTCTACTTGGAGCTTTTAAGACACTTACATCCCTTCAAGGGATGGTTTAAGTGCATTAGGCTCACCTCAAGGCATGTTCAATTTCAGTTTGGTCTCCATAGTTCAATTAGTTGCTGTTTAGACCCTTAGTTCAATTAGTTGCTGTTTAGACCCTTTTTTTTTTGCTACTTTCTGGGTTCCATGAGGGTAATAAAAACTTGAATGTAATTTTTTTATTTTGCAGAAATACTGACTATAAACACCATATTTGGTCCGATTTATTTTATTTTTTATTTTTATTTTATTTTTGCTATTATAATTATTTAATTAAGTTTGATTTTAATTATTTGGTTTAAAATATCGTAGGTTTACTTTATTATTAATTTTAATATAAAGTTTAAATTAACTCATTAAAAAGGTTAGATTTATTTAAATGATTTGATTTTATTAATAAGAAAATAAAAATAGTTTTTGTTTAGATTTTGCTTTATTATTAAAATAAAAAATGGATAAATAAAATTTGATTTGTTTTTAAATTAAAATACTAATTTTGTTTCCTCTTTTCCCTCGTCAAAGGTTCAAGTACGTGGTCTCATCTCCTTTTCTTTTCCTTCTTTTTCTCTAACTCACCTTTCTTTTTCTCTAATTCTCGTTTACCCTCTCCATGTTACCGTTACAACTTTTTCTTATTTAAGAGGGAGGGAAGTTGCAGTAGAAGACATACAGTGTAAAGAGTTAGAAATTCACACCCAAACCTTTTCTTCTTCTCCCCCTCTATAAAACTGTCTTTTTCCTCCATAACCACCACTCAATCTCTTCTCCTTTATTATCCCATCACCACCACCTTTTCTCCTTCACACCCACGACCTCTGACAACACAAGCGAATGGTAGGACCTCCAACCATGAATTCCAACGACCTCTGGCGATGCACGCACTCTGGTGACCTCCCTCCCTGTAATATGCTTTAAGTGAGTAAATACGTTGGAAATAATATTTTTTTAATAAGAAACCAATTTTTTTAAGATAAAAGATATTTTAAATAAGTTTTGAAAAGGAAATAAAGATTTTGATATTTTAAAAATAAAAAGGTTTATTTTTTCTAATTTTGTTTAAATAAGAGATTTAAAAGTTAGTTTTTTTTTAAAGGAAAACTTTTTAACAAGGTTTAGTCTCTTTTTTTTTTGTCAGATTTGTTTTATTTATTTATTTATTTTAAAAGATAAAAGGGTATTCTCTTGCAGTTTTTTTTATTTTGTTTTTTTCTTTTAAATTTTGTTTTTTTAAGTGAGTTTTGTTTTGTTTTTTTTTTGTCAGATCTGCAAGTTTTTTGTGAACTGATTTTTTTAAAAAAGAGTATTTAAAGAAAATCTTTTGGAAAATTATTTTAGAATATTTTTTTAATTTCTTTTAAACGGTTATGGTTTGGAAAAGAATCTTAACAAAAAATCAATTTTTTTTAGCAAATAAATTTTGTTTAAAGTAAATTTGTATTTTTAAATAAAAGTTTTTTTCTTTTAAATAATCTTGTTAATTTCAAAATAAATAAAAATGTTTTTTTTTGTTTTAATTTAACAAAATTCGTTGGT